GGACCTCGTGAGAAGGACTGATTTGTTAGGGATCACTGTGCATTTTTAGGTGTGGGCTCATATGATTTGATGGTTTAATCCTTTCGATATTTTGTGATGCTGTTGTAAGACACCCTGAGGATTATTTTTATAAACAGAAAAATAATGCATATCTTTTTCAAAAATGAATAAACTTTCCAAATCCACGTTGCATACTCCTACCTGTTGTGTGTACAAATCCCCTAAATGTTAACATCCTCTCTGATTTGGAACTGGTGTAGAAACAACACTGAATGGAGGAAAAATACATTTAGATTTTAGCAAGTGGATTCAAACTTTATAGGCTGTGTGAGAAGACTGCTGGACTCTCTCTCATTGGAGGTTTGGAAACTCAGGCTGGATGCCATCTGTCAGGGATGTGGATTTCCTAGTGGGTTGGACTAGATGGCCTTCAGGTTCCCTTCCAACTATAATTGTATGATTTTGATGCCCTTTCATGGTGCACACATACATCCTGACCTGATTGTCTGGACCTAATAGTCCTTTACTTAGCCCTGAACAAATCAATTTTTGGGAGGACAACTCCCAGATTCCCCAACTGGTCCTGCTGCTAGAGGATTCTGGGGATTATGGTCCAGAAGAATGACTTTTCCAAGCTCTGGGAACAAGAGGAAAGCTGTGGAGAATAAAAACACAGGAAGGGTAAACTTGTAAGAAAAGAATGTCTGGAATCACCCCCCAAAATTAGATAAATGAGGCAGGGAAATTGCACGACAAAAGCTTCATTGGATAACTCCACTCCAAACACATCTGGAGGGCTGCAGAGTCCTCATCCCTGTTAAACGCTTTTACACTTGGCCCTCCACATGAATATGGAAAAACCACAAACAACAAAAATACTATTTTTTTTACCTGAGAGAACACCTCTCTAGGAATCTCTAGGTCCTCCAGTGCAACTCTGTGGTCAACATCTGCCAGAATTTGACCATAGAATTGTACTGGAGGAGCCACAAATGCCTAGTGGAGTATTCTCTCTAGGAATCTCTAGGTCCTTCGGTGCGGCTTTTGGTAAAAGTTGACCATAGAGTTGTGCTGGAGGACCTAGATTTTCCTAGCGAGAACATACGAATAAAATCCTTGAATAACCAAATCTGCAAAAGTCAAAGCCACAAATGTGGAGGGATGAGTGCAGAATGGGGGAAAGATGTAGAACCAAAGGGCTGCACTACCCCCCAGTGCCTCTAGATGGTGCCATTGTTCTCTCTGTATTGGGACTATGGATGGGTTCTTGCAACTTGCTTTCCAGTTGTGGTTGAATGGAAAACATGGAAAGGGATGGAGCTTAGGGAAGGGCATGGCAGAGTCACAGCATCTAGACCAGTGGTTCCCAAACCTTGGTCCTCCAGAAGTTTTGGACTTCATTTCCCAGAATTCCCAGTGTTGGCCAAAGTGGCTAAGGCTTCTGGGAATTAAAGTCCAAAATACCTGGAGGATCAAAGTTTGGGAAACACTGATCTAGACTCCAGCAGCCTGAGGAAGAAGACCCTCCAGTTGGAGTAGGAATCATAGGGAACCCCACAGTGTGGTTAGACTGCAACTCCCATGATTCTTCACCATTGGCTCTGTTGGCTAGGGGTGATGGAAGTCGTAGTCACACAGCATCTATAGGGACACACAATTCCCTTCATGGCTGTATACCATTGCAAACAGGAGATCCCATGTCAGCGGGGTGGAAGTCCATTCCGGGTGGTAGTTCGAACTTTGGAGCCATGGGAGTTGTAGTTCTCCAAAAGGAAAGTTGCCATCCTTCTTTATCAGGGTAAGGACCAGGAGGGCAAGATAGGTGATGCCTGAGGGATGGTGCTTCTGCTCGGGGAAGGCATTTCAGCCTTTAGAATCGCAGGGAAAAATCTGTCCCAAAAGCTGGAGAACACTATGGTGGTCTGTGGATGGAGTGGGACTACTTTGGAGCCCCAAGAGAGCCAGATATGGCCCCAGTAAGGCTGCATCTCCACTGCAGAAAGAATCCACTTTGACATCACTTGAATGGCCATGGCTCAATGCTATGGAATTTTGGGATTTGTAGTTTTGTGAGC